TCCAAGAGCCAGACGACTGCATAGAAATAGACGACGGGCAGAAGAAGTCCAAGAGCCAGACGACTGCATAGAAATAGACGACGGGCAGAAGAAGTCCAAGAGCCAGACGACTGCATAGAAATAGACGAAGGGCAGAAGAAGTGAGACTCTCCCTAACGCTCTGGCTTGGGCTACTGGATGGGATGTGCTACTGATCAGCGAATGAGGAAAAGTGTGCTGGATAGAGGAATAAATGCATTCATAAAAATGTAGGAGAAAAATGAATGTTTGTAAGTGCTGTCAATGTATTTTAGCCGTGTGTGTGTGTGTGTGTGTGTTGTGTGTATGTTTGCAATTACAAAAGAATATTCTACCTGAATCTTAGACAACTATTAATACAAAAATGTATGTAATGAAAAATGGAAAATTATAAAAATACAAAAATTATGTAATGGTAAAGGAGAATTTTGTTACTTTTAAAGAAAATAAAAACAAGTATTAAAGTCATTCAAATGTTTCAGTAATCAAATCTCAGCTATATTGGGATGATCTTCTATCTCTACCACCTCCACTAATTTATATATATTATACCTGTGTGCTAGTTACATACAAAACTAGAAACACTTATAAATTTGTTCATATATATTAATTACATATGTGTATTAGTGTGAGAATGCATAAGCCTTCTCACATGATAAAAGAGATTCAAATATTCAAAACCTACCTTGAATATCTACTTTATATTTTTCTTAACTTTGCTATGTTTCTTGGTGCTTTGGTTCAGAGCTACAGTATTTTTTCAAAGGGTCATTTGGTAAAGGTTTTATCCCAGAGTACTCCTACTGGAAAATGGTCAGACCCTGAGGAGATAAAGCCTCATAGAAGACTTTTAAAGCTGAGAAAGGAAGACTGGGATCCCAGCCCCTCCTGAGGGCAGCAGGTCTGCTCTCCCACATACTTTTGCTAGGATGAGCTGGCTCAAAATCAGTGGGGCCAACTGACCTTTGGCTAGAACTTCCATATTGCAAGTTAACATTTTTAAATCTTCATTATATGACTATCTGAAGTATTGTTACAGTAACAGAGACTTAAATACTTTGCAGACTTAATTTAGGAAGATTTGTTGAAAGAATATCAATGTTGCTAGTTGAGGTAAATGTCAAGTACTTACAAGCAAAATGTTTACAGGATTACAAAAGTAAATGAAGACAAAATACATACAAAATGCCACGTCTATAATAGAAGAGTTCAATTAGTCATCTAGGAAGAAAATAAGATAATCCTAAGATAACAAAAATGAAGAAAATGTATGAAAATTTGACTATTATAAGGTAAAGTGTTCAAAAGAGGAGGAATAAGAAAACAGTGCATAATTTATTAAGGTCAAGTATGTTGTAAGCCACATGTGTTAAACAAACTTCCTTTACGAGCCAACTAATAATACTGGGATAATGGTAAGATGAAGATTAGCCACAGAGAACTAATTATCCTGCTGTATGTAGGTAATTTTTTATCCAGACAGTAGAGAAGATACAAGGACTAAAAATAGAAGTCAGGATTATTGACTTTAAGAAGTCTCAGTGCTTAAAATGTTAGTAAGCCCTTGGGTCTTTGGATGACAGAGCCCAGAAATCCCCAGTTGTGGGGTTGAACAGTCCTATGCTCTCCTCTCATGGCCCGTATCAGGTCTATTATATAAGGCCAAATATGAGTGTGTCATATCAGCAGAATCCTTCAGCTGTAAAGAATCATCTTTCTTTTATCACACAATAATAAAAAGAAGACTTTTCACCTGTCTCTAAAATTAATGGCAAGATATTGGAATAAAAACAATTCTATACTCTAAGAAAGTCATCCTTTTAATAGAACTTTAAAAATAAAATTCTACTGTTACTTTAAACTTTAGTATGACAAATATATGGAATGAATGTACAACAGATAATTGAAATCCCACATGTGTGTGCATGTGTGAGTGTGTGTGTTGTAAATATTATAATGAATTACAAGGCATGGAATCAATATACATCCTTATAAAAATTGTTAAGATGGAGTTGAAGAAATTAACAATATGTACATAGCATATACAATATATTAAATATTTTAAACCATATTCTGTATTCTTTAGAAGGAAGTAATGGTGTTTATAGCCATTTTACTAGGAACTTGTCCTTTTGGAAAAGGATATAATTATCAAAGTCCATGAAAGCCACAGCCTTGTATATCTAACTATCCACTTTATCTGATTAGGGGTCACTTCAAGCATTTTTAAACTCAACAAAATTGCTCTATAACATGAAATCAGACCTACATATATACCCACATTACAGACCTAGTATATCTTTGGGGATAAACTGATAGGAAAAACTATTGGCTTAAAAATTATCTAGATTTTTTAATGACTATACTCACAAACACAATTGGTAAAAAGATTGAGAATAAGGCTCTCAGTAGGATCATGTAATTTGACATGTTTTGTTCCTTGTGATGCAAGAGCTGTAAGGACCAATTCATATTTCAAACAGCCTACAAAATCAACTAAGGAGGATCATGGGGTTTCAAAGAGACTAAAGCAGCAATCAGGGAGCCAGCATGGGTCTGTGTTAGTGCCTCTGCATAAATGCTGTAGTTGTTGATTTGGGATTTAGGGGGACTCCTGACATTGGGAGTAGGAGTTTCTGACTCTTTTGCTTGTTCTTGGGCCCTTCTTTTACCTACTGAGTTGCCTTGCCCAGCCTTGATGTGAGGATTTGTGCTTGGTCTTATTGTATCTTGTGTTCTTTTAAGGAGGGAGATGGGAGGGAGTGGATTTAGGGGAGAGAAGAGATGGGGTGGGACTGAGAGGAATGGAGGGAGGAGAAACTGCAGTCAAGATGTATAGCACAAGATGAGAATAAATAAAGACTTTAAAAGTAGAAAATAGAAAACATGTCAATAAGAATTATTATTGTTCATAACATTTTATCTTTCAATACACTGTATTACAATGCTTTAAATTTCTACTGGGATTTTCTAAAACCTTTCTCAGTTAGATTTCAAAAATTAAACTGATTTTGATTAATTATTATGTAATAAATATGTATAAGACAATGAGCAAAAAAGACGTACAAGATTTTATGTACAGGTTTAAATTGTAACTATATAAATCTTTAGAACATTTAATAGGCCTATATTTTAAGAAATTTATTACAAGAAAATTTTAAGGAATATTGTTAAAATATTTCTGTAGAAAATTTGATTTCAATAAATGAAATCTCTTGTCTTAGAAGGGGGTCCAATAAAATCTATTGCCTTGGGCTGGAGAGACGGCTCAGTGGTTAAGAGCACTGACTGCTCTTCCAGAGGTCCTGAGTTCAATTCCCAGTAACCACATGGTGGTTCACAACTGTCTGTAATGGAGATCCGATGCCCTCTTCTGGTGTGTTTGAAGAACTGTACTCATACACATAAAATAAGTAAATAGTTCTTTAAAAAGAAAATCTATTGCCTCAAGTCAGTGAATTAATTATCCTCACCTGTAATGAATTATAAACTTCCTAGCCATTCCCTGGGAGTATTCAACCAATTCACTTTTTCTTGCTTGTATTCTAGGTTTTTGTCCTTACTATAGGTTTTAATGTATTCAAAGAGTTTAAGCCATATGTCCATGAATGCATTTTAATGTTTGCAAATGGACCAACTTGTATTCTCTTATGTCCTAGAATGAAAGTAGCCATGACCAACTCCTAGAATGAAGTATCGAAGCAGACTTCATGTGAGAGCCACCAATAGTTTTAATATAGGAGTAGCTTTTAAACAGCATTATCCTAAAATTTTAATTAACGTATCTATTGTATCCTCAAATTCTGAAATAAATTATTGCTAGAGATGTACACTGAAACTTTTCTAACTAGCTACCTGACCATCTATATGTTTAATAATTATCCTAGATTCCAGAAGTATATTCAACTAATCTGTACTGGGATGAGGAAATATTCTTCAACAAACAACCTTAGGAAGGCTTTCTAAGCATCAAGCATGCTAACCATGTCAGAGATTGAGATGAGATACACAGGAGTCACACGCAGTCCAAACATCTTCCAATGTGGGTTACAAAGTGGTTTTTTTTCCCCTAGTCCAACAAAGCATTATTTTTTATTATTCCATTAGGACATTCTAATTAATAATTTTCATTAATTATATTACTCAGTTTTATTTGATAGGTCCTTGGTAATACAGCTAACGTTTACTTTTTGTGATACATTTATAAATGCTTACTAATAAAATTTTTAATTTATTTCCTATTGATGATAGTCTTTCAAATACAGATCACTCAAAACTTTGGCACTGGAGGTAGGGCCTGTTTGATACACTCATTTGAGTGTGGGGGTTCTACCCATGTAAACATAAGGAGGCCAAGAGAAAGGAACCAGATATTTTCATCTGCCACTTTCCCTCCACCTATTGCCTTGAGACAAGGTCTTTCACTGTAGCAGAAACACCTGACTGGTAGGGCTAGCTGTCCTGCAAACTTGGATCAGTCTGTCTCTTGTCTTTCCTCAGTGCTAGGGCTAGAGACACACTTGAATATCTGAGCTTGCCCAGATATTCATGAGGGTACTGGGAATTCAAACCCAAACCCTAGTACTAGAGCAGGAAGTACTCTTACCTACCAAATCCCCTTCTTGTCCCCCAAAATCTGACTGTGAAAGAGACACTATTCTTCTTAATGTGGTCAAGGACACAGCATTTGAGTACAAAATTGCCTGGTTATTTACTAATGATCAACAATTCTATTCAGTGATTTCCTCTGCTTAATTTAAAAAAAAATAAAATGTAGCCCATGTTTGAAATTTGATTTCTGCCAGTTTGTTTCACTTTACAATTATACATATTCTAAAGTCCTCTTTGTCTTTGTTTACAATCACTGACTTTGAAAGACGCAGGACATTTCCAAGAATAGGGACAGACAAGAAAATAGTTGGGAAACTGAGGCCTGATTATCTAGAGAAGATCTGGGACGCATAAGGATGTGCAGTACCTGGACATCGATACAGCTTTCTTGCTTGTGCAATGTCTCCTTTGCTTAACCGGGTCCGTTGACCAATTGCAGGACGGATGCCATTATCATCACGGGAGGGGAGTATTGTGTCTAAAAACATTCCCCTGCAAAAGCAGAAGCAAAACACATCTACGTCCATGAAAAGCATAGGGACAATATTTTCCAAATTCAATCAGCAGTTACAGCAGTGTTGACTTAAAGAGGGAAATGAGATTTTTAGAACACTCTAATCAGGGCAGGAAAAACTTGTAAACAAGCTACTTCCAGAAAGTTTATGGCATGTATTTTTCCTTAGATGTGTAGCATATGTTTTCAAATTAAGATTATTTAACAATATCCCACAACGAACACTGTGGCTTTTGTTTTATTCCCTCATACTGATACAAAAATATATTAAACCACCAGACTGTAAAATAATTCTTACAAAGGAACAAATAGCCACCTGTGCAGACAGCTTTGAGGTAACTAAAAAATTGTAAGAACCAAGGGTTAAAATACAATTTTAACTAAACTAATAACTGAAGCTGGCTATCCTTGGATTCTAAGTGTTGCTGTAGCTAATGATGAAAGAATAAGAATAAACAGGATAACCAGTTAAATATGACAATGTAAATCAAGTATATACATTATTCAATTTTTAATATAAAATCAATAACAAATTAAAAACCCTTACTAATGGTTCATATGTTTTATTTATTTTCTGGAGATACTGAGTTCTCTTGGATTCAAGGTTGTGGCAAGAAGTTGCTATTTTCCCTAATATACATAGTTTAAAATTCTGACTGTAGTATACTAAAGATGCATTTTAACTTTGCAATGCATATCAAATATTTATGACTCAGGAGAAGCGGTGAATGAACGGGAAATGTCTTTGAAAGCATAGAAGTTGGGAGCATATAAATGGAGTTTTAATGGAAATAAAACACAAACAATAGGATGCACTTTATACAAAAATCTTTAAAATAATTAATAAAAATATAATGGTATTTTAAGTTGAGACAAATGAAGAGATGTTTCATTCCAACATATGACAGTGAACATACTGCTCATGACCTGTAGGTCTAGGGACAGCAGCTTCAGGCCATTTATTCTTTTCATTTGAGAACGTTTATTAAGCATTTCTAGACCTGAATTTATAACAGCAACTTAAAGAAGCTGGCATCTCACCCTTCGTAAAGCAACTCTAAAGTGAGAAGTTTGTCAATCAAAACCACAACCTGGAGTTCTCCCACCACCAGTTTGTCTCTTGCTATCTAGAGATCACAAACCAATATGCACTTGGGAGGGCCTGGAAAGAAACAATCCTTGTGCCCACATTATGGGACTGCAAAGTTGTGCAACACGGAGTGAAAATTCTTCAAAAAACTAAGAATCAAAGTAGCATGAGAGTTTCATTCCAGCTTCTTGGTGTGACAGAGAAAAGGAGAAAAAGCAATATCTCTGAGATATATCTATATAACCTGTTAATGGCAGTGCTATTTTAGACACTAGAAAGTGGAAACAACTCAAATGCCCTAGCAGCCAAAATGTTCACTGATAAATATGCACACACATACATACACACATATATACATACACACATACATTCTCACATCATACAAACACACCACACATACACACACAAACACACAAACATATTTACACCACACACACACACAGAGACACATGCCACACACATATACATGCAATTCACACACACACACACACACACACACACACACACATCACATCACATATATATGCAATCTGTCAAATCAATCATGCTATCATGATAGCATTATTCAACAGTATCATGGAAGTAAACTATGCTGTGAAAACTCTTAAAATATAATTCTAGATGGCTGGCATGTGTCAGTCATAAAGGGATAAATATGTGTGATTTCAACTACAAAAGCATCCAAAATAATTGAATTCAAAGAATTTGGGAATAAAAGGATACTGAAGGTTCTAAAGGTTAAACAAAAAAGGAAGCAGAGTTATTTAATAGATTCACCATTTCTATTTTGGAATATGAAAAGGTTCTGTGGATATGTTTTATAACAATGAATATATTTAACATCATTAAAATGAACACCTTAAAATGGATGAAATGATACATTTTTATTTATATAGTTTTGACATCATTTACAAAACAGTAACTTCAAATACTTTTGAGGTGGCAGGATTGTTATTTCCTAAAATAGTTTCTTTAAATAGATTACTAAACAATCTCTTTAGAGATTCAAACTAAAATATTATGAATCAGGTCAGATAACTATCTTTCTAATGGAAAGATATAACCTCTTAAAATTCCACCCTCTTAGAGGTGATGGGGACAGGAGGAGGAGAGGGGAAAAACTCTGGGAGTGGAGACCAGGAGGAAGGCAATATTTAATATGTAGATAAATAAGGTAATTAATTAATAAAAATGTAGACTTCTTTATGAAAATGTATAGGGTTAGGTTTTATTGTTGAGAATTTCTTAGAGGCATATAATGTGTTTTGACCAAATCCACACCCACCCCTTCTCTCCATGCCAATTCTTATCATGTCTTCCCTCACTACTTCTCCGCTCTCCGTTTTATGTTCTCAGGAAGTCTAGTTATAGCTGTCAGAACTGATATGGATTTAGGGGCACTTCCTCTACTATGACAACCTTATTAGATGCCACTTTCATGAAAAAAAAAAAAGGCACTGACCATCCCTCTCCCCAGTAGCTATTGGTTGTCAAAACCTCCCCGGGAGTGGTGGGAGTCTTCCAATCCATGTTAGTATTTTAGTTGGTCTAACCTTGTAAAAGTGTGGACAGTCACAGCAGCTGCATGATGAATAGAATAGCTTTGGAACAGTATGGATACTCCAGGCTGACAGGCTATGACAATGTGGGAGAGACTGCAGGCAGCAAGACTGCTGGTCTATGGTGAAAGATGCTAATAACTTAGCACCTAACCCATAAGGGACAGAATAAAGGGAGACAGTCAATTCAGACTTAAGGTAAACCATCTGAAAAGAATAGAAAGAATTTCTATTGTTGTTTGTCTACTCTCCAGCACACCCCATATTCCAAAAACTTAAACTTCAGGTTAATTCTGAATAATTCAGTTTGATGTCATGACAGAGAAGTGTTGTCTGAACTGAGACCCACATATCAATTTCTTACATATTTCTATGGAAACATCAAATCTATTCCAAGTTCCTAACCAAACAATAAAATTTTATAACTCTAACTTTAGCCCAGATTCCTGGGTGTATTTTTTTTTTACCAAAACTTGAACTCCAATTCCAGGAACAATAAGTATTTGGATGTTGTTCTATTTAAACAAATGTATCTAAGGATCAATGTGTCTATGATATGTACTCTTCAAAGTCCTGTTAACATTCAATTCTTCTTAAGATTTTTCTTATTTGGGTACTTATATATTTATTTAATTATATTGGTTATTTTATTTATTTACATTTTAAATGTTGTCCTTCTTCCTGGTCTCCCCTTTGCAAGGCCCCATCCTATGCCCACTGCCCTGTGACTCTAAGAGGGAGCTACCCCACCCACCTACCCACTCCTGCCTCACCACTCTATCATCCCCCTACGCTGGGGAATCAAACCTCCATAGGACCAAGTGCTTTCCCTCCAAATGATGCCATACAAGGCTAAGGTTTTATTTTTTAATAAAGGAAGTTTTAGAATATCTCCATGTTTTAAGTGTTTATAGTATGCTGTTGTTTACATATTTATTTTAAAAATTAACCTGGGAATAAATCTGACTTTTTTCTCTGGGAAACTGATTTTTTTAAAAACATAATTAAGTGTGAATGAACTCTGAACTGGACAGAGGTGAACAGAAAGAGTGAAGGGAAAAGAGTGTGTGATTGAAAAATGAGAATCAGCCATTTAAAAGGGAGAGAGGATGAACTCAGTGTTTGATTTCCAGCTTCCTTACCTGAGAGCTACTCCCTTGGGAGAACCATCTTTAGAATGAAGTGCATGAAAACCCAAACTCCTAATAATTCAAACTAAAACATTTAGTTATTATTGACATCATTTTAAATTGAGAGTTGGATGCTTACAATTGTAAGCCACATGAAAATGAAGCATCTTCCTAATATAGTCTTTGAGAATTTCTCTACTAGTATCAGGTCTGAGGCACATGTGGTGTCAAAAGTGAAAGCACACAACCTAAAGCACAATCCAAATACAGTGTATACCATTGTCATGCAACAGGGGAATCACGTAATTGACTTGTGAAGTCTGGAATTTTATTAAATGATGCTTTGCCAATTTAATATGCTGAGTGGTTAGATAGTTTCTTTCACTAAATAGTGAATAACTTCAGGATATATAATTGCTTAAATAATCAATAGCATTGTCAGCATCGCTTTTCATTAGTGCTTTTAGTCAGGACAAGAGAAATGTGTTTTAAATGTCTTTTTTTTTTCAAATGGCTGCTGTTGGTATGGATGGTAACTACGATTTCTCTGCTCCATTTTTGCCCCAGGGCAGTATTTCTAGTTCTAAAGTTAAACCGGGCTTTGTGGGAGTCATGTGAAAAAGAGAATTAAAAGTCAAAAGGTATAACCTGAGACTCCAACCTTGAGAAGGTGTTCCTGGCGTAGTGCATGATGCTGTCAAAATCGTATCTCTCCCCAAGAGAGTTCACCTCTCCAGGCTCCATCTTTAGAAAGTTGTACTCTTGACCTAAGAGTAGAGGAAAAAACCAACATCATAGGAGACTTGTAAATGAAAGAAAAGGGAACAGAAATCTGGGTCCTCTATTTGGGTTTTTCTAAGTGACTGGGGTTGCTGTTGCTTGTGTTTATACACATCCATTCGTATGCTAAAAATGAAGCAAATCCATATGTCCTCAGTTAAACAACACTGCAGCTGACCAATGAGCTAATTCTACAAAAGACGATAAAGAAAAGCATATTGTTCTTCCAAATATTCTTTATCTAACTCATGATACTCTTTTATTCACAATGTTATTTCTGGTGGGTGTTACCCGAGTAATTATAATTATTTATAGACACAGTTTAACACAGATTCAAGTAATCATGTCGTGACACAAATTTCATTTTTTATCATACACATTTACATTACATATAGATTTAAAGCCAACGTCTATGTGTTTTAAACATTACTCTTTAGATGCTCCTCCAGATAAGGTTGTATCATTCCTTTGCTACTAAGTAGGATCATTACAGGGTTTTTCAAATCCAAAAGTAGGCTAAAAGAAATCAATGTTTGTCTTTTTTCTTTTCTAAAAAAACCTTGCATTAGTGTCTCTTGTTACATTTGATAGAACCAGTATTTGCACAGCTGCCTGGAATAAACTTTTGAAGCTTTCTTCTCATGTTTCCCCTAAAACATTTTTGAGACTGTTCTTGCCTTTTCCTGCTCTCAGAAACTGTTTATGCTGGGTTCTGCTAGTTCTCAGGAACATTAGCTTCACCTTCCTAATCCCAAATTAAAGGTCCCACAGAAGGTAGAGAGGGCTTTTTTCAAATCTGAGCTGTGTTTCCAATCCATGATGGTTTAAATAGAATAGCCCCCTTAGGTGCATATACTTGAATACTTGGTCCTCAGTCCATGGAACTGTTTGGGAAGAATTAGAAGAGGTGTGTCACTGGGAGTGGATGTTGAGGTTTTTAAAAGCCCACAACATTCCCACTTAGCTCTTTCTTCTTTCTACTTGAAGATCAACATGTAAGCTCTCAGCTACTGCTCCAGTGCCATGCTTTCCTGCTTGCTGCTATACTTTCTGCCATGATGGTCAAGCACTCCAATTTCAACCCTCTAAAACAGTAGGCCCAAAATAAACTCTTGCTTCTATACTTGCCTTGGTCAGGGTGTCTTATCACAGCAATGGAAAAGTAACTAGGATATAATCCTTCAATTATTCCTAAGTAGAGGGTAAAGCTTAAATTTTTGACACCTATATAGATGATAATGATTCTTCAGAAATTCCCCAGGTAATTAATAATTAATAACCAATCACCCACCTATAACTTAACATAGAACAATAGGACAGGGCTAAATATCATTACAGGGTATTGCAGCCTAAACATTTCATCACTGTTCTCTCACTGTTTACTTGTTTTCTTTTAAATGTTCTTCATTGTAATCTTGTGGACAACTGTTTTTATTTGCCAAACGTATTGTCTGCCATTCTTTGGTCACACTCTGCTGTGTTCTAAAAGTATATGGCTGTTACTGCCTTTCACTCATATTCGTATGTGCTTTTCCACAGAACTTACACTAAGCTTTGTACATTTCATGGCAGTATCTTCACCACTAATTCTTTGGTAAGTGGATTGGGGTAGATGAAGAAGAAACAAACAACAACAGCAAAAGAAATCAACACTCTTGATCACAGAAAATTCTAAAAAAAAAAAAATTCAACATAGTCTTTTCATTGATTGTGAAAATAGGTTACCCTTTACTCCGCTTATGCTTCAAGACACATACTGCAACAAAATGACAAACAGGACTTAGACATTATTTTCAAATGAAATGTGCTGGTATTTTTTAGTATGAAAGTGAATGTAAATATATAATTTGCAATGAGAGTAGTATCACTCACAAGCCTCTAAAAGAAAATTTTATTTTAATCATAAATTTTATTTCAATTAATGAAGACATCCTTTAAAATCTCTCTTTATTATAGTCAAGTCTATGAAGAAAAATCTCCAAGAACCTAAGACTATTCTGGGAATGACTCATTTTATGGATTGATTCTCTCCAAAAATTATATCCTACCTAGCACTGATTCCTGTAGCTGTAGTACATAACAAACCTCAGACCCATTTAAGTCTATATCATAAATCAAAGAACTAAGTATAAAAATGGTTTGTTAAAATTATTAAATCTTGTCAGCTTATTGCTTAAGGGCTCATACCTATTTATGAAAAGCACAGATATTTAAAATAAAATACCTCTTAGTAAAGAAAGCTTAGAAACGGCTATTTTTAAGTTAGTAAGAGGTTGAATTTACTACATTAAAAAAATGTTTATACAGTTTAGGAATATAAGTTTGCAGGTTCTAACAGGTCTCACCTGGCTGGATGTTCTCTCTTATGATGGTGACATGGTTGTCTCGGTCTGGGCGAGTGTGTTCATGCCAGAAGCCTATCACGTGGCCCAGTTCATGAACAACAATTCCAAACTTGTCACAATTCTTGCCAATAGAGATGGCCTGAGGGCCATTCCCCCGACGACCAACATAGGAACAGCAGCTATAAAAAGTGGAAAAAGCACAGAAAGAACTTATGGAGATAAGACAGTTGGACATGACAGCACAGAACTTCTAAAAACAGTAGTGATCACCTGCATAGCACAACATATCTTGAGTCAGACTAGTCTTTCATTAATGAGTTTTAAGTCCATATATGTTAAAAGTTTCTCAATAATTAAAAGCACGACAATCATTTTTCTATTAGAATGTAATCTTTGCCTTATTTTCACAAATATTCAGAAATTATATTAGAGACAATTATGGTAACCATGACATAAAATGTACTGTTGAAAAATATATTCAGCCCTCAGTATCTGCGTCTAGAATCACTACATGTTTCTATCAGTATCAGTAAATATCAGTGTGGTTATCCAACAATAATCTAATACCATTTTTCTCTTAATTTAAAATTTGCGTTTATCCTTCTAAGAAAAAGAAAAACTATCCATCTGTGAAAAGACATTAGATAATCAGCATATAAATTAATCTTCTTACCAAAGGAATGAGTCTAAAAAAAAATAATGCTTTTTATATGTTAGTTAAGGGGATAGGGCAATAGCTCAGGGGTTAAGTGACAACCACTAAAACTGTAAAGACTAAAGGTTAGATCATGAAACCCATGGAGACACAGTTAGGCCTGGAAGCTCTTATAATCCTAGCCTATAAGAGCATAGCATAGGCTAATTACTAGAATAGACTGGATAGAGTTATAGATTAACCATATGGACCAAGCAGTGGTTTACTTCAGAGACACATTGAGGACGGTTCCAATATCAATTCAAGCCCCTCCATATGCACACATATACACACACACATACACACACACACATACAGAGAGAGAGAGAGAGAGAGAGAGAGAGAGAGAGAGAGAGAGAGAGATACACACACACACACACACACACACACAGAGAGAGAGAGAGAGAGAGAGAGAGAGAGAGAGAGAGAGAGAGAGAGAGAGATACACACACACACACAGAGAGAGAAAGAGAGAGAGAGAGAGAGAGAGAGAGAGAGAGAGAGAGAGAGAGAGAGACTAAAGCAGAAAAGAAATGTTATTAGAGGGTCAAGACAAGATGGTTGAAAAGATAAAGAAGACGTATGTGTTTGATTCTCATGACCTATGTGATAGATAGAAAGGGCACTACTCCAGGAAGTTGTTCTCTTATCTCTACATGTGTGCCATGTCATGAATATCTACACAGATTAATGCACACATGCACCCACTAATAAATGAATGCGATAATATTACAAAAGCAAATGAAGGTTACCTATGGCTAGTAGTTAATCGGATTAAGAAGCTCTATCTCAATGCCTTCCCAAAATTCATATGTCACAATAAAACCCTAATGATCTTGTTTAAAGTAGAGTTTTGAAAAATTAGTTTGTAATTGCTGATTCCTCATTAATAAGGTCAGAGCAATTATGGACGAAGCCCTAGAAAACTACCTTCAACCTTTCCACCTTGTAAGGACACAACATAAACACAGTCATTTAATATCAAAGAACTGTCCTCAACACTTAGAGCTCATGAAGTTCACAGTGCATAAGATACCCAGGCTGTGATGCTCAGTGACAGAGCACTGTGTTGACTGTGACTGTGACAATTCTTGAAGAAGAATCACCAGCTAGTAGTATGTTGGTTTGAATATGCTTGGTCACTGGAACATAGCACTACATGTGTGGCCTTATTGGAGAAGGTGTGGCCTTGTTTGCGGAAGTGTGCCACTGTGTAGGTGGCTTTGAGGGCTCCTATGCACAAGCTCCACCCAGTGGAGAAGAAAGCCTCTTATTGGTTCCCTGTGGAAGATACCCTCTTCCTGGCTGCCTGCCTGTGGATCAAGATGTAGAACTCTCAGCATCTTCTCCAGGCATCTTGTCTGCCTTCATGGACTGCACCTCTGAACCTGTAAGCCAGCCCCATTTAAATGTTGTCCTTTATAAGAGCTGCCTCAGTTGTGCTGTCTTTTCACAGCAATAAAACTCTAACTAAGACAGTCAGGGTTTGTAAACATTGTTAGATTGTTATAAAATGTGTGTATTGACCAGTTACTAAATATTACAGTGCAATATTAATTACACCTGAGGAGGCCCATTGATGGACAGACAGAATGCACACCACTCAAGGAAAACTTACTGCAATTTGTCTTAAACTTGTTGACACTTAGACATACTGATGCTTTTCACTTAAATACAGGTTCCACGTATTCATTTATATATGTTATCCACGCAAATGTGTGAGGGTGTGTGAGACAGACTCATGTATAAACTTTCAAGAGCAAACACACAGAAGATATGTATTTTAAAGTAAATCTTAACGTTATGATTGTAGTCATAAGTGCAAATAAAGTCCATCTGAAGCATTAAAAATTACAGAGTACATGTAAACATTCTTGGACTATCAAAAAGGCAGCAGCCCATAGTTGGTCTTAAAATTGGGAAGAACAAGACATTAAACACTGCCAAAGGTCTTTTCTATTTATTATTTTTAAGTGCAAAAATTTTTTGCTCAAATGATGGGAAAGGATTTCACTTTTGTCAATTTGAAAGTCTTGTTGATTTTCCACAAATATAAATTCTCATATCACAACCCCTTATTCCTCCCAACTTAATTTTGCAGTCTTTAAATATCTATATATTTTTAACCCATGCTATGTCAACTTGAGGAGTTAATTCATACTCATTATTTGTGAGTGCTATGTCAACTAATTAAGGTTAATACATCAGTGACAGAAGTATTTGGTAACACGTGGGAAAGAGTGATAATTAACAAATATCCCTTTTTGCCCCTACATATATTTTATAAACAATATATACAATTCACACACAAGTATTTACTTCATACTAAAAAGTAATTGCTTACATATTCAAAAATTATTTGAGTTAGAAAAAGGATTACTTTTTGTAAAGTTTGGAGATTTAAACTAAAACATTTGCCATTTTAAAGCAACAGTAAGTAGACAGAAATATCTGATGATTATATAGCAATTAAACTACCCACGTTGAGTCACTCTGGCTGGTTGTATTCAGAGAACACAGCACTTTGCAAAGGGAATTCTAGGGCATAGAAAAGCTGTCTATTTATTTAATCCCAAAACACCTTTCTTGGCATAATTGAACCCAGAGCAATTTCCCATAATAAGATGGATTTCATAGTGGAAAGGAAAAACAGATTTCACAGTGCCTATTTCATAGAGCTATTATTTTCAATGGCTCTGGGAAATAAAAAAAGATGTGGTACTTTGATCCTTGACTAACTGAAAGTCTTAAGTACAAGAGATTCTAGACATTAAGGTTCATTAAGTATATGCTTATAAAAATATCAGGCATGTGTTGGCAAGGAGACATGTGATTCAAAAATGCATGGCTTAATCAAAACACTGTCTTAGTTTCTGGCAAAATCAGTTTGATGTTATTTTCTTCTACTTGATTCTTGACATTTCACTCTAATTGATTTGTCATTTTAACAATGTGATACATCAAAGGTCAATCTAACTTCTCACACACACAAAAAAGTATTCATATATAAGAAAGTTTTATTTTGCCTTAAATTATAAAATGTAATCTAAATCTCTTGTTCCTGACTTTTATTTAAAGTTTACAGACCAAAACACCATAAAGTTTTCTCTATAGATCCATAACTTAGAATTGTTTTTACTTTTAAAAGTTACTTCCAATTATTTTATTTAATCACTCTATTGTCTTCATTAAGATGATTCAATTCTTTAGCTATTTTCTATTTATAAAATGTCTCAGGACATAGAAGTTCAAGTGTCCCATTACACTATAAGATACATGAGGGCAAGAGGCTCTACATCCTCTATTCACTGACATAACACAAGCATCCAGGGCAATGTGCTCAAGGCGGATAACACATATTGTAGAGCTTACTTTAATATCTAGCCAACTACCTTAGCTTCTCTACATCCATGAAAAGTATCCCAATGTATATCTCTGAAGTTTCATTCTCAATAAAGATAACAATAAATAAATAAACCACCTCCCTATACACTGATTAGCTCATCTTGGTGAAAATTAATGGTAACCTTAATCTTCTTTCAGCTTTCTCAGTTCAAGTGCAACCAGTAATCCTGAAGCCTCCCTTTTTTCCCAGTAGTCAGTCCTGTTGGCTATATTTTTTAAGCTATGCTCAGAATCTTTCTCATGGTCTCCAGTGTGAATGCTGTTTTCTAAGGGTCTATCATTCATCATGTGGAGTGTTGGATAGTTCACTAAATTTTCCTCCATTTCTTTCTTACCTCACTATCACAGTGTGTTTCTTAACATCATGATAATTTGTAAATATCATGCAAGATTATGCCATTATTCAGCAACTCTGTGGTACATTGTGTCAATGCTCAAATATACTCATTCCCCTTCTCTGGTTGATGATTGCAAGTCTCTGTTCCACTAATGCTTGGTTTGGATAAATAGCTTGATCTGGACAATATCACAGAAGCCAAAACTGTCATCTCTAGGGAAAACATTGAAGAGTCAATACATGACTGACCATGTGGTTCCCATTTGGTCTACCATAAGAAGAGTTATGTCCAAAATGCAGCATCTCCATGACACTGCATAAAGGACTTAGATGGTCATGTGTTTATAAAAAGCATTTGTTGCTCTAAGGATCTGAGATAGAGGCATGTTAGATTTGATGGCATAGGTTCATGGAGCTGACAAAATTGGACTGTCTGAAACCCTAAATTATCTTCATAGCTATACATATTAGCACATATATCTTATCCCTCAGCACTATCCATAAATATTACCACATACAGCTCATCCCTCATGGATACCACTATCCATGTTATCATCGCCCTCTGTTTTGCCATGAACATGAAGTAAACTCATGCCACCTTTTCTGTCTATCACAGCAGAAACACCGTCCTCTGAAATACTCATATGGCTCCCTTCCATCCCTTTTTCAAGTCTTCCCACAAATTTGACCTTTAATCTTCTCAGCTTATCTTTCCTCTAAGAAAGTGTTGTGTTATTCTTTAG